AGTCTCCTGCAGAGAGAGGAGGGAGGATGAGAGAGTCCCCAGAGTGTCACCTCAGCCCGGGGACCTCGCCCGCTCTGGTTCCGCACAGCAGAGCTACTCTGGGGGGGCCGTGGGAAGGCGGCAGCCAGACGGGCACGGTCCCGGCCTCTTGGCCTGGTCGCCACACACAGGCTTGTGGCCCTGCTGGCGCACCAAGGCTTTAGGATGTCAGGATCCCGATGCAGGGGAAGGGGACACAGGCCTTGACACCACAGTTTCCTCCCTGTCCCTCTCTGACCCTCTCTCTCCCTCCCTCCTTCACACACAGGCCCGAGCGTCCTGCTCAGGCCTCCCACCCTTTGTCCCCTCCTTACCTTTGGGCCCGGGTGGTCCTGCCTTCCCAGGGGCTCCCGGGGGACCTCGTTCTCCTGCGAAATGCAAACCCACGTCACTGGGAAAATGAGACCTAAACTGTTCTCCTGGGAAACCTTCACCGCAGGAAGCAGGGTCCTGAGCCTGGCTCCCATGGTGGTCCCAGTGACCCTCAGATCTGGGGCCCGGACACAGCCTGGCGGTGCCACAGGGGGTGACGGAGTCTGCACAGTGGCAGGTGCTGATGGCCGGGCCTGCACCTGGTTTGGGGCTCAGGACGGGATGTCCCCCAGCTCCCGTTTGGTCTTTGGTACAACCCGGGCGTCACGCTGTGTTGCCCCTGAGTCTCGGTCCCTGTCCCTGGGCAGGCGCCCGCTCTGCTCTCGTTGGGCGGGAGGTGCCGGCCGTGCCTGAAGCTGGCCCGGGCGAGTGCCAGCTCCCCTCCTTACTGGTGTGTGAGCCCCGCAGGTCCTGGCCCCTCTGGGACTCAGTGTCCTCGTCTGAGGTGGGTGGAGAAGACGGGGCCACCCACGTTTCGGTGAGACTAGGGAGGAGCACACACTCCGGGAGTCACGCCCGTGGTCACATGAAGCTGCCATTGAGTCAAGGCCTCGGCGACGGCCCCACAGAAACACGCCCAGATGCGAGCTCCGGAACCAGCTACAGCAGCAGCTCACGCCCGAGGCACGTCCAGAACCCCGGTTGGACTCTGGGGTCGGCGCTGTCACTGGCTGTGAGCTGGGCCAAGACCACAGCTCCCGATCCCAGTGGGGCGTTGCCCACCTCGGCATCTAAGTCCAGAAGAGCAGGAGACACCAGCCCACCCCCATTGCTGCCCACCCACCCGGGCAGGCACCTACCTCTCTCTCCGCGGGCGCCCGCCTCCCCCTTGGGCCCTGGGGCTCCGGGCAGCCCCGGGCAGCCTCGGAGGATGGTGAGCTTGTCGGAGCCCTCCACACCCAGCAGCTTCACCTCTGCACAGAAACACACGTGCCCGGTCAGTGCCATCGCCCTGGGCCTGATGCCACCCAAACCGAGGACACCTGCCCCCTTGGTGACATCGGGTCTGGACAGATGGCTGCAGCCAGAGCCAGCTGCCTCAGCTGGAGGGTAGGCCTGGGAGGGTGGTTTTCCCACTGTGGTGGGGACTTGGTCTGTCCTCCCCCTGGGGGCACTGGTCAGGCGGGGAAGTGATGCAGGGCGGAGCCCTGGCCTCGGAGACCACCCTGCCTGAGGGTAAGCCCCTCCTCCGCGCTGTGTGTGCTGGGCACGTCACCTACCCCCTCTGTGCTCTGAGCTACCACGTGGGGGTTATAACAGGGCTATGGTAAGGATTCGATCACAGAACAAAAATTTCAAAAATCTTATAGAATTCAAGACCTTTAGGAAGAGCTTCATTAACAGTAAGTAGTTTCAATAAATAATGACAATAAATATGTCTAAGAAACTCAGGAATTTGGGTTTGCGTTAGTGTTTTCACTGCCCGACCTTGGCCATGATCGTAGAGTTTCTGGGCTGCCAAGGGGTCTTCTAGGTCACCTGGAGAGAGGACGTGTCTGCTCCAAGGACGCAGAGCGAGCTATGGCACTACTGAGACCCGACAGAGATTGTTTCCTTGTTTGAAAACTACATTTTAAATTTTGTGGATGACAAAATTAACACGTCCTCCTCAGGGAGAACTTGGAAAACACAGAATTAAGCGGTGCTCTCCCTGGGAGACCCGGCAGCTGCCATTGGGGGTGTGTTTCCTTTCCGTGCTCTCGTCCTCGTTTCCCCAGGGCAGGCCGCAATTTGCTATTTATGGTTGCCTATAAATAAGTTCCGTGCTGGGCGGCCGGCTGTCCTGAGGCACGCTGTCGCTGTGTCCGCAGAGCCAGCCGCCGCTGCATCTGCGAGGAGCCGTCACTGTTGTTCGGCCCCCGCCCGTGTCTGCTGCGTCAGACTGTCTGCGGAAGGGCCAGAGATCCGCATTTCCAACAACCCCACCCGTCCGTGCGGAGGCCACTGGATAGAAAATCTCAGAGTGCCTCTTGCATAGGCCCTTAAGAAGATAGGAAAAGTCAACAATATTTTCTTCCTTCTCAGTGACAGAGTCTGGAACTGTCTGTGGGTCTCCGCAGGGCAAATCTCAGGCTTAGAGGCAGAGGGACTCAAGGTGCAATCCTGTCCCCTCTCCCTCCGCGACCTCAGCTCTTCCGAGCCTCCCTCTCCTTGCCTGAGCGGGGGGGGGGGGGGGCGCTGAGCTGCTGTGTGTGTTCCTAGGACGTCCCGTGCAAAGGGGCTTTGCCTGAGACACCCGAGGTAGTTAATAGGTGGGTTGTCACCAGCTTTCACAGACCAGGAAAACTGTGTTCATCTCACCTGGACAGGTGTCGGCAGCCCAGGCAGGCAGGTCCTTGATGTGCAGGAGCAGGACAACCAGGACTGTGACCCCTGGGGCCATGGCGACTGTGCTCTGCCCCCTCCCACTGGTCTGCGACTTCAAGGAGGCTCCAGCTCTTATAGGGCAGCGGGAACCAGCCCTAGTTACGGGCTGCGGTTTCTCAGTTCCCCTGGGGACACCCACTTCCTGCAGGTTGCTCAGTTGCAGCAACAGGCAGGATGTTTCCTTCCAGCTAGGCCACCGCAAGCTGCCTGCTTAGCTGGGCGCACTTCCCCTACATAGACACCCTGTTGCTAGTCCAGAGAGCTCCCAAGCCCTCCGGAAAGGGTCTGCCTGGTCTGTAGCTTAAGGAAAGCCCACCGCCCCAAGCCCCCTTCTCATTCCCAGCTACACTCAAGCAATACTTCGAGATAAGGAAGGTTTTGTGGAAGGAGGTTTCCTGCCTTATCTGATTTCCAGAAAATTCAGGGTATAAGCCCGTTCCTGGGAGAGAAAAAAGTGCTGAGCATCTCCTGCGTCCCAAGTGCTGCCGACATCTTCTGATCCTCACACCAGCCCCAGTGAGCAGACTAATCACCTGACAGCTACAGGTGGAGAAATTGAGAGCTGGACGTTGGAATCCAGGGTCTGGCACCCTGTGGATCACTGGGGTTGTCCTTGTTCCTTACACCTGAAGGTGAAGATACTTCTTGTTCCCCCAAATCTCTGAGGCCGTATTCTCCATCTCGTGCAGGGAATCACACTCGGCCTGGACATGCTGTGGGCAAGAAGGACTTCCGAGGAGATGGAGGAACAGGCACTAAGAAGAGCTGAGTGGTCACGGGAGGGGAAGAGCAGAGAGAGGAGCTGTTTTGGGTTTGCTGTTTCTCTGGCCCAGTGTGTGCAGCTGGGGTTTCCAGCCCAAGTAGGAGAGAAGTGGCTTGATGGCCGGACAAGGGGCTTAGCGAAGCAGTGGGTGGCTCAGGGGGATGTAGGACTTTGCGTCCAGGCTCTGTGGGCTGCAGCACTAGACTCCGCACACTTCTGTGGGTGGCTTCAGCCTACTGGTGGGGGCGCGGGGGATATGTTGTCTCCCCGAGCTACGGCACCAGGCAGGACGGGGCTGGACATCAGTGGTGCAGCCTCCTTTCTCGGAGAAGAGCCAGTTCAGGAGCGGGAGTCACCTAGGGTTGAGTCAGGACAGGGAGAGAGCCAGCAGGTCTATGTGCCTCGAGTCCACCTGCCAGCAGCCCTCTAGGTGTGAGGGGACTTTCTTTTCTTTGCATTGTCAATGGCGTTATTTCAGGTTCAATGTCAACAATGCAGCCAGATACCAAGTCAATGTTTTCAAGAGTATGTGGGCCTAAGAATATAAAAGAATGCAAGATTCTGACATGTTAAAATATCTTTAAGTTGGATCAGTGAGAGTCGTTTGACTTCTGGCAATGGCAGTTTAGGTATTTGGAGCCCTCCGTCCTACTAAGGACAAGCAGACAGAACATTAAAAAAGAGATTTGCTTGAAGGTGTAGTCAAGCCGACGATGCAGGGCAGGACCACCCTGCAGCCAAGGGGATTTGCTAATCCCTGATGACAGCTGAAAAGTTGGGCAGCTACTGTCACGGTCTCGCAGTGGTAAAGGTCCAAGGCTGGGCTCCAGAGCCTGCCGAGGGCATGGGGTTGGGGTCGGGACCCATGGGGGCTGCACCTGGGAGTAGGATGGATGAGCAATGTCCAGCCTTCTTGTGGGCTGCAGACTGGGTTGTCCAGTGTCCCAGGAAAAAAATCTCAGCTCCTGAAATTACACTTCTAGTGCCCTCAGGCTGCTAGCTGAAACCAACAAAAATCTTCTCTGAAAAAGAATAGCATCGTTCTAGGTCATTATTTCTGCAGAGTGGTTTTTTTTTTCCAAATTAAATTTTAGAAGACAGTCAAACATAACCAGATTCACGAGAATAAAAGACAACACACATAAGGATCAACAGAAACAATATAGACACAGATCTGCAGAAGCTGCAAATACCGAAGTTACAGCATAACTAATGGTAAAGATTGAAAAACGTCCCCAGAGGCCGAGAACAAATGAGAATGCTTGTGGTCACCACTCCGGTCAAGGCTGTATTGGATACCGCCGCCCAGGACGGCAGGCAGGAAAACAAAAATGTAGGAAGATTGGAAAGGCAGATACGAAGTTGTGATTTTCAGAAGATATGGTCATGTAGAAAATTCAAGAGATTCTAAAGATAAACTAGCAGAATAGATAAGTTTAGCAAAAACAAATTGTGTTTCTAAAAACTGGCCATAAAGAATTAAAAAATAAAATTTAAGAAATCTACAGTAGCAACAGCAAAGTCAAATAACGGTGAGTAAATATAAGAAAATACATGTTAGTCTTCTGTGTAGAAAACTAACAAGTAGGAACTGAGAGACCTAAAAGAAGATCAAAATAATTGGAAGAATATTCTGTGTTCATGGATTAGAAAACACAATATCACAGAGATGTTCATTTCCCCCTAATTGATCTAGAGAGTCGCTGCATTATCAACTAAATTCCCATGTTTTGCTAATAGACAAGGTGAACATTTAAAATTTATATAAAAGGCAAAGGGCTGACAGCCAGGATACTCTTGAGAGAGAACAAAGAGGACGATTGGCCGACCTGGTGCCAGCGACGGCTGTAAAGCCACAGCAATCGAGACGGGCTGGCCCTGGCTCGGGGACACAATGAATGGACCGAACCGGCTGGAGTGTCCAAGCAAACCCAGGCAGAGACTGGCCTTCGATGGCGACGGTTGCTCTGCAGGACAACGGGGCAGAGGCACCCTCCGCAAATGGCACGAACGACTGAACATCCAGATGGAAAATCGGGAAACAAAGCTTGACTTTTATCACACCAAAGAAACCCACGTTAGCAGACGTGTGGATCCAAACGTGAAGGGCGGAGCAGCTGCAGATCGTGTTAAAAGCTGTCAGATAACCTTGGAGGCGTTTTACACAGGATGGAAAGTCACTAATCATCGAGGAAAAGTCTACAAATCGATACTGAAATTAAGATCGTTTGTTTTTCAAAATACACCACCGAGAGATTGGAAAGAGAAGCCCCAGGGTGGGGGGTGATGCCTCACACGGAAGTGACCGTGGCCTCTTATCCAGAATGAAGAATTTCTACAAATCAACCCCCTCTGGAGAGCGGGAAAGTGACTTCGACAGACGCTTACAAAAGAGAATATTTAATAGATAATAGAAATATGAAAACATGCTCAACTTCGTTAGAAATCACAGAAATGCAAATGAAAATCACACGAGATATCACCACATGCAAAAAATTTTCAAAACAGCAAGCTACACAAGGTTTGGGTGGGAACATGTAAGAGATGGGGACTGTCGCGCAGCACTGCCGCATCTTCAACGATTCTCTGTGACCTGCAGACTCTGTAACCGTGACCTTCGCCTCGGTTCTACCCAGCAGAAAGGCGTGTGCAGGTGCGGAGGAGACACCTGCAGGCATGTACGGTCCCCGCTAGGAACGACCAAGGTGTCATCCGCAGCAGAGGGGGCCCGTCGGCTGAGGTATGTTCGTACACGGGAATCCTTTTCAGCAAATAAAGTGAACGAATTATAGCTTCATGCGAAAGCTTTGTTGAAACTTACGCACAAGAGGAGGGAGACTGAAAGCCGTCCGCGCTGCGGGAGCCTGTGGTCTGCGCCTGCGCTGGGTTCTATGGCAGGCAGGGCCGAGCGGCAGTGTGAGGGGTGGCCCTGCGTGAAGGGTGGCCCCGCGTGAGGGGTGGCCCTGCGTGGTGCAGCGGAGAGAAACGCAAACATCGCACCGGCCAGAGGGCAGCTCCCTCCGAAGAGGCCGCCTCCGGATCCGGAAGGGGCATGGCGGCGGGCCAGGGCTGCGGCTTTGTGTGGCTGGCGCACATTTGGTTTATGCACTTTGGTGATGGGTGTTATAGTTCGCTTTAAAAAGGAGGTTTAAATGAAGTGTTTTAAAAAGTGGATAGAACACGTAGGTGCCACCCACTGTTCCTGCTGCATGCAGGAAGCAGGGGGCTGCGCCAGGGCTGCGGGCTCCCGCCCTGCCCCTGCCTCCATTCTGGGGAGGCCAAGCATCGCTGGCTCTTGCTGCACGTGCTGGGTCTGCGGCCGGAGAAAGGATCAAGTGCGAGACAAGCTAATGAGGCTGGCCAGAGGGGGGTCCTTTCCCTGAACCGTGCCAGGGACACCAAGCCCATCGGTCGGCAGGGCAGTAAGCCTCACCCTGTGAAGTGAGCAGGTTTATTATTAAATGAAGAAGAGCTGTTGCAAAGAAATGAAAATACACGGTAGGCAGGAGCCTTGCTGTCCCGACCCCCAGGAAGTGCCCTTCCCGCTGCGTGTGGGCTGTGGGGAGACGCCCTTGCTGCACCCCTCCTCCTGAGACTGCAGCCAGGGCGGCTGCGGGCTGCCCGCTTCCTGCTGGGATTAGGCCCCTCTTCCCTCCTCCCCCATGGCCTGGGCTTCCTCGCTGTGTCTGGAAACCGAAGAAGTCCTGACAGCTGCTTTACGGAGCGTGCGGCGCTGCGTGCGCATGTCGGGGCGCAGGCGACACGGCTACGTTGCTGCACAGAGGCAGCCGGGTGGGGGTGGGCTCGCCCCGCACCTGCCCTGGGCCCACGGGGGCTGCTCATCAGTGAGCACGCAGAGGGCTCCAAGGGCTTGCACCTGTGACTCCGCCTGTATGGGAGGGATGACAAAGAGACTCAAATGACACTCTCCAAATGTCCCCAACAGTTGTCGACAGGACAAAGCTTAACTCCCGGCTCACCCGGCACTGGCAGTGCCTCTGGGAGGGAAGGGAGGGTCTCACGAGGTAACGGTACAGGGTCGGTGCCCGCAGCAGGTGGGGTTTCAAGAGTCTGGAGCATAAACCGTGGATTCCCACGGACGAGTCGAGGGGTCCTTGGGAGGTTCCTGCAGTGAGCGGTGAAGTCATTGGCAGCATCCATGTCCCTGAGCAAGAGCCTGGGAACAGTGAAGTTACGCTAACGTAGACCTTGCGGCGCAGACGTTCTGTTCCTAGAACTGGGGCTTCCGCAGG